TTTCTGCTGCTCGTTCGGGGATCGATTCCGGGGAAGTTTGCCGCGTGATACGCGGAAAATATGTTCATAAATCGTTACTATCCGTGAGGAGGAAAGGAAACCGCGGGACCTCGGGGTAGCGGAGGTGGAGAGACCAAGGGTGGATACGGGCGCGGAGGAGGCAAAGAAAAAAGAAAAAAAGAAAAAACAGGACTCCGCGCACGCATCCAGTGCGACGTTTAATGGGAAGTTATGGTCGCAGATAACGCCACGTCTTACGACACGGCTGCACTATGATGAAGCGGAACGTTAGATAACGACGATATATCTCCGCGCTTTGGCGAGAATTTGAAATTACGTCACGCGCTATCAAAAACGTCGGAAGAATTACGTTCCGCCCGAACGGCAACGTCCGGCGAACTCCTGCGCGAAATCCTTTCTCGCGTCACGCATTAACGAAATTTCGCGCGACAGAGAAAGAGAGAGAGAGAGAGAGAATTTCTTCTTTTTTCCTCCCCTTTCGAAAGCCACCACTCACAGTCTGCGCCGAGACTGAAACGGCACAAAGGAAGATTTCGTATGCGGCGTATGCGCCCGCTATCGCATTTAGAAGCAAATCACAACGAAAGTAACATAATTTAGAAAAATAAAAACTGAACTCGCGTTTGTTAATTAAGTTTTTGCACACGCGGTTACAACGATGTTCCTCCTCGCCGGCACGCCGCCAAAATCGTATCGCCATGTAAATCGTTCGCGTTCCTAATTCGCGCCCGGCATACTTTCGACTACGGTAAATTCCGTCCCGCTCCGAAATTTCGGGATTTTCTCGGGGGGGGGGGGTACGAAGGGAAACAAAAATTCATAATTAATTAAACTGTATTCGTTGCGTATCGGAGCGTATTACGCGCGTTTGTGCGGCAAAAATCGAGATACTACCGATTAATGACATATCAAATACAATACGGGACATATCACGGCCGCGCTACCAGTCATTCCATTTGTCCAATTACGAATGTAGATATTTTTATTTCGCGTAGCTATGTTAAAATCGGCCACTCGACCTACCCCTCGTTCCCCCTCCCCGT